CGTTATCAAAAGCACCCAGATCCTGGAGAAGGACATCACACCCAGAAAAATGGAGGGTCTGCGAAAAAATGAAGAGCCTCGACCAGATTGACACAGTGGCTGGACAAAGTGTTTAAGCACGTCCGAGACCCTGAGGACGGCGTCGGGGCTGGAGGGACTTAGTTCCTTTGAGTTGGAGATGACTCAGTGTCATCAAACAACAGCAGCAGCAGCCCCGAGATAATATTTTATCAAATAGGCTGAAATAAGCACTTTCAGGTTATTTTAATACTGACACTGAGCCAGCCAGGAAACGTGACAGTCGCATCAGCTCCCTCCTCCCCAGTCCACTTCCATCATTCACAGTCTCACTTTATTGAAATAGTGTCAATGAAGATGATGTTCTAAGAAGTTTCACTATTACACAATTCTTGACCAGAAAACATGGTTCTTACTTGAGGCATTTCCCCTCTTAGAGTATAAAAATATTGATCTTGTCCCTTTTTTAACACTATCAGAATCCAACTTAATACTTCTTCCTTGAAGCTTTTATAACATTCCTTACTATTGATTTAAAATGTCCAATTAATCTCTTATTGTATATTGACAGTCCCTTCACCTGATTTATCTGTTCATTAATTTTTACTCTCTTTCCCCTCTCTTCCTATCCCAATGAAATCTCCAAGATTTCTTCAATCTGTGTGTGTAAAACCCTGCCTTGGCATTTTATAATAATGGTCGTATACCACAATTGTTCTCTTCTGACCACGCTACGCCACTCACACGAGGGGGAAGTACCTGACACCTCTGAGTTAATGGGGGTTGGAGGGTTTCTTACCGGAGGCCCTGGGAATCCAGCAATACCTTTTTCTCCTTTTGCCCCTATGCCAGGTTTTCCCTTTAAGAGGAATAGTGCTTAGGTGAAACAAAATATCAGCAACATGCAAAGCAGAAATAAAAATTCTCTTCAACAATTTAAAGAAAATGGGTCATATTTTATGCTAACAGCACACACATAATAAGATTTTTGCAACCACATCATATGTTAGTTTCCTATCTGTTCTATATGCATGTTACATGTGGGTACAATATATGCAAAGATATTTTAATAACTTTGTCACTGACACAGTAATTAGGATTGACACATTGAATTAGGATACAACAGTGAAAAAATCTAGTTATATACATAGTACCCTTAAAAGGGGTTAGCTTTCAAAAGGTAATAAAATTTAAGATAACACCTTACACACATATTAGAGAGAGAGAGAGAGAGAGAGGGTTTAAAGAAATCACCTTGAATCCAAAAGGTCCTGGCGGCCCCACGGCTCCAGGCATCCCTTTCCTACCCTGAAGAGTACAAGGAGAAAAGGTTCACACTTATTGTTGACAACATTGCGTTCAACTTCTTTCCGAAATCTCTGTTCACTCACTTTTTGAACA